GCCACTAAATTTGAACTGTTGTCACCCAATCAGTACAGAAGAAGAACAGACCACACTAATTCAGTACTGATCTACTTTACTGTGATTGTAGCCACCCAAAGACAGAAAGTAACCACAGACAAGCATGAAAACTCAACACAAAGTCCCAGACTGATCAAGTAAATTGACTACATTTACTAAAATTTGAGCTACTCTAGGTTATAGCTTGTAACATCTATTGATTGATGATTTTAGATCAAATTTGACATAAATAATTAATTTGCATTTTATTTATCATCACTGTCAGATTAAAGTATCTCCTAAAATAGAACATACAAACACAAAGAAAGTAAGAAATCACCATAAGTGGAACAACTATCTTTACATGGTCATCAGTGAACAGTTTAAGCCTCAATTGTCTTTTTATGACCCCTTCAGTCGGTGTAGTATTGATAGCGAGCCTACCCTTGTTTCTACAAAGCTTTGTTTTACCATGTCATCCTAAATCCAGGCCAAAGGCAACCTGACACAAACGTGTTTCAGTCAATTCAGGGAAAACACAGCTTGTCATTTATTCCCTGGCTGGAAACTTTTTATTTATTTATCCAAAACTATCCTTCCGGACTCCTGCGATAATATATATATTACCCCAAAACACTACACTATACAAGCTGCTACAAAAACTTACCTTCAGCTCTTTAACTGGCTGCCTGGCTATGCACAGTGGGGCTGCTGTGGGGACAGATAGGCTTCCCAGTCATCTGAGTGGTAGCATCCACGTTGTATATAGTGGATAGTTGGATGAAAGAATTTAAAAGGGAAAAGAGGGACAGAATTTTACTGTAGCGATATTCTGTATGTCAAAAGTCCTACATTCAAATTTTAAGATGAAAAGTAAAGCTAATTCTAACTACTTTATATTTTGCTGTGTGGCTTTATCTGTGAAAATACATCATACTCTAGTTTTTGAATATGTTTTTAATTTATAATCTGCAGAGTAACTAGTCACTAAAGCCGTCAAAATAAATGTCTGCACACCATTGGACTCCAAATAATAACTCTTTGTGAAAGCAATGGTTTGATCTGATCTCATAGATCAAAACATTGCCTTCAATAGTTTTATGAGGAGTTGTTGAGATGGTGTGCAGAGCTTTGTCCTTTGTGTCCTGCAGCGACTGAGTTTATTGTGATAGTTATTGTAACACCTCTTGTGAGAAGGATCAGGGTCCAGCCTGGGCACCTCTTTCTCTTGCGAGGAGGAAACTTTGATATGTAGTGGCAAAAACTTGTTTCCATGAGATTTCACTCTTTCTTTCTCGCCCATTGCCATGAATGTTTAGGTTGTTTAAGTTGCAATGTTGCCAGAGCACAAATTCACATATAAACAATAAAAAATAAATAAGTAAATTATAATGTGATAATTAAGTTACTATATATAAACAACAATGGGTATCCGTTTGTTGCATGAGAAAATACGTACATTTAGCTGCAATCATATGGCAGTAAGTAGGAGATCTTGTGTGTCTGATTTAGCTCTCTCTCGCACACACACAGTTTGGAGCAGGTTTTTAGTCTTTCTTCTATTGTTGTGGAATGAAGTTAATTCATTATAAACTAGGCCTATACTGTGTGTGTGAGTGTGTGTGTGTGTATACAGTGTTGTGGAAATTATATTCCTGGTGAGGGGTTGAGCAAAGAATTGAGTAACAACCAACCTTTGTCTTTGAAGAATTTATTTAACAAAAGAGAATAAACAGAGAAGTACTAAAACACATATACAGCTGGTCCAGAGACCTGCCGCCTAAGGCGGCATCGGGCGTCTGGCCCCCGAGGATGCATCATCATTTACACAGTCTAGGTTTCTATGTTTTGGGGAACAGAGATCATCTCTCAGCCTTAAATGAAAATTCCATGAAAGGAGAGGAACAACAAGAGAGGGAAAACACCAAAACCATCTCACAGCTCTGACCTAAACCCTAGTAAATGTGGACAGACCAACATAAGGAGTATAGCATTTGTGGGATAAAACAGGGACATCTACGAAAGCTGCAGGTGTGAATGTTTCTTTGCAGGACTACTTTTATGTCTGAGACCTGTTGCTGGTTCCATCAGATAAAAACTTTTCCAAGTGTGTGCATTACTCACCAATCTAATGGTCCTGTCACCGGAAAGAAATTGATAATAAAGACTTTGGTCTTTATTAATTCCTTAAAATGAATTCAATTAGTCTTTCGGACAATCACATGTTAAAATCTCAATATTTAACAGTCCCAAGCTTTGATGGTTGATTGTATCCACCATTCTCCATCTTTTGTTAATTGTACACCAACATCAACAGAGACTTGATTCAAACACAGTCGCGATTTAATTTCTTTCTTTAAACTCATTTGGGACCCCTCAGGGCTCCCCGATGGCCTCTATCAACACATTAGGATCAATGGAGGAAAAGTCTGGGCTGGAGCATTTCTGCCTGTGAGGCTTCGTATGGCATAATAAGGACATCCAATGCCAATACTACTCTCGCGCATGTACCTCTCCATCCTCCCGGCGTTGAGTTTGGTACAGCCGGCCACTCCTACAGGACCAGTACAGGTCAGGGATGGCACGGATTTGGTGTAATAGCATGTCAGCGCTAGGCTTGTATGCAGTGTGGCAGTCTGAGGTGTTGTCTACTTTGCAGTCCCAGGTGTGTGAGCACACACCAGGGAAATGCCCCACGACTGACCAGCCGTGTGAACCTTGGAATGAGTCTCACCTCGGTGAAAACATCTAAATTTGACGTCTGTTGCTACAGTGGTGTTTTGAGGAGTTGGTGTGGCGGTGCTTGCGTGGGCAAGGAGTGGATATTTAGCGTAAGTTTCTAACAGGGACATGTCGACTTTGTAGTCGCATGTGAGCATGCATTCCCAGCCCCAGCCGGGGTCTGGCGGGTGTCTGAGAGTGGGAAAGGTTTAAATTTGGAAACTACATGTGAGCGTTCCGCTCAGGCTGTGTAAGGCAGTGGCAACTGCCTAAAGCGTAGCTTCCCGGTCATGCATGCATAGCAACTAGAATTTACAGAGGCACGCACAGAACAATTCAGTACTCGGTACCAGGCGTTCCCCCCCGGGGAAGCTCAGTGGTGTTACTGCTCGCTTTGATTTGTTAAGACTATGAGGTATCATTGTGGTCGAGTTGGATGCAGGTGGACGTTTGTCAAACACATACAGAATAGGTAACACCAAAACCACAGAAATACCAGTCAAACACAACATTGAACCCCTGAGACCTAGCCCCTCCCATCCTGGCAACTGGAAAGGGTGCCCCGGCCATGTGGAGCTGGATTCCATCATCGATTCCTCGTTGGTCACTCTGTAGTTCAAATCATCAATCATGGGAGAGATATTCATCTCTCTTTTAACCTTTGTTAACAATTAGGATCCTTTGTCTACAAAATCTTTATGGTGATTGGTTTTGGAATAGATGGAAAAGGCTTGTATGCAGTGGGAGGGAGAGACGTACTCTCACTGTGATCACATGTCCCAGGTTTATCCTGTCTGTTCCAATTGCAATTGAGACAGACTAGCCTTGTGTGTGGCCATTGAGAGCTAACCGCTTTAGCCAACAATGGTCATCTCAGTATACTTCTTGTGATGGACTGCAGAACGAAACCGACCAGCCGCGTGGTTAATGTAAAATTTTTAACAAGGCCTTTGCCGAATCACCAACAGAGAAATATGTGGCATTTGATGTAATCAATAACAGGTTTGTGTGAAAATTTGAGACCTAGTGCTCGCGGATGCACTGCACCATTTACTGCTAGTTGGTCTATAAAACTCTACCAGTCTGTGCACTTCAATTCAAAACATTAACAAACAATCAAACATCTTTTATACCTTTTAAGCGATTCTTGATTCCAAATCAAACTTGACTTTGTGAAACCTATAGCTATAAACTCTCATTCAGTTAGCACCTCAGACATGACGTCACTTGTCTACCCATGGTGTATGGAAAAGATTTTATTGGAACTAGTTCATCGGTACTCAGAACCCCAACAATGTGTGTCAAAACAGACTTGTTTATGTCACCACCATTGCTGTCCCAGTTCTCGGATACCACCACTGGGCACTCGTCAGTCAGCCGACTCCGGGTAAGAATCCCATCTCCTCCCTTCCTTCCAGCTCCAAATCACTTGATTTACCCATGTCACTACCCTTTGAGACAGCTCAACTTAGAAAAAGAGACAGAAACAACACAACAGCAGCAGCTCCATGCGTCCAGATAATATTTTGCAATAAATAGAAAAATTTATTCTCTCATTTTTCTCTGTCTATCTCTCTTTAACTGTCCCTAAATTATTTGTCCACAATTAATCTGTAATCTCATCTGTCCACCTGAACTGTGTAGATTACTGTGCAGTGGAATGCATTCGAAAGTCTGTGTGCATGTGTGTGTGTTTGCGTTAGAGGTCACCCTCTCTCCCCAGTGCTCTGATTAACGAAATGAGTGTTTTGTCATGTTTCATCATAATCTGAATATCACACACCACATAGTACCATATATACAACATTTGCCTCTCTTCTTGGGCAGTTTTAAACAAACAATGTAGCAATCATGTCACCTGCAAGGTTTGACCTAATTACAGTTACTCTGATAATTTCCCAACCCCTTTGTGCTCAGTATTCATTACAAACACAGAATGTTCAAGTTTAGCATTACTTACTAAGATCTTAATATGGTATACATTTTTAGTTTCAATGTGTTTTTTTACTTTATCTGTGAGAGGTTGTAACTCACCCAGTGTGTTTTTTGGCTGTATCCTGTCACTAGGGTCCGTTCCTCCCCCTTCAGCTCAGTCCATTTGTTTTCTTTTTTTTTCTTGCCAGTCTGTTTTAGAAATTGTGCAACATCTCTTTTCCAATGTCACCTTTTGCCCTTTACTTTGCCCCGTACTGCCTGTTTCTTCGTACCAGGATGGCTTGACAGCACCAATCATTTTCTTTTGACAGTTGTTTTCGTGTTGATCTTTTGTATGTTAAGCATGCTCTTTCGTGCTGTCTGTCTTCCATGCTGTGAAATACAACTTTTCCTTACTCCAGTAGTAGTTTCTGGAATAATCAAACTCAGAACTTTCAGGGTCGCATTGCGTCTCGTTTCAGACCACTGTAGTCCTAAGGTGATGGTCATGCGGAGAGTCCTAAATGATTCGGTCTGTTCTTGCTGTTCAGCTGCTGGCCTGAATCATGCAGGCAGAACTTAGTCCAGTGGTAATTCTGGACTGTCCTTTGCTGTACTCAGCATACTTCAGACTACTTTCCTTCTTGTCTGGCTGGAGTGACATATGATGCTAATGATGGTGATAAAGAAAGGAACATCTTATCTTTATGCTGATCTTGAGGAAGTCCATCTTGATCTGATTTTTTTTCTCATCGCTGTGTTTATCTTAGTCGTTATGGGCCGTACTTTTGAGAACCTTATCTAAACTGCTCCAGCTGTGTCTGTGGAGCACAATGTCCTAAATGTCAGTATATCCTCTTTTCCCTGGTATTTCCTTCTCTGGGTAACTGGAGGGAGAACCAATGTCTCTTTATCTGACTTTTACTGGACCGGAGCACATTTCCTTCTGTGGAGCATCAGTGGATGTTTAATTTTTTTGTTTCGCATCTCTCTTCTTGCTGCCCAGTCAGATTTTAGCAGCAGCTTTACCCATGGCATGCTCTTCTTACTGGACTTGATCTGGGACTGGAGCATGTAGGAGGAGGAGGAGCGGAGTCCAGGACTGGATCAACCGGAATGGATTCCGTGACTTGTACCTCGGTTAAAGAAGAAATAATCAGTTGATTTGTTCTTGTGATTTCTTTCATCAGTCATCAATAGGCTAATCAGTTTTCAGTTCTGAGCTTTCCTTAGCCTCAAATCTTGTCTTCTTCTAGCCTACCCATCTGAATTGCATAATTTTTATTTACTTTACTCTGGACAGGACTGCACGCTCTATTGCATTTCTGCTCTCCTTTCTCTCCAAACATGTCTTAAGCTGGTTCAATAGCTTAAGCTTCCATTTTGCAGGAAACCCATTTCAACCCACTTATCAAATTGCCCCATTAATGTCTAATATTTTAGTCATCAATTTCTGGTGAAACAACTGGTGAAGGTAATCTGGGAGTGGAATCAGACTCAGTCTTCACTTTACTCTGACTCTTGCCATAGTCTACTCTCTCTAGCTAGTCTGTACTCGGGTCCATAGCAATATTTGGGTCCACTGAGTTCGGTTAAGTCTGAGGCTACCCGCTGCAAACCTAACTTATCAGCTGGAAACCCCAAAAACCCCTTCGACACCACAGAGAAAACCAGGACACATCTGTCCGCGAGCCCCTGATCCAGTCCCACTTGTCAGTTTACAAGCAGATAGAGGGTCCTGCAAATCATTCAGGCACGAGATATAAGACCACTTCCTTCACTCTGTTCAATCTCACTCTTTTTATATTTCTCACCATGTAAGTTCTTTTCCTTTTCTTTCTGGAACGGAGCGAAGATCAGGGCTCCGCTGAACACAGCTTCTCCCTACAGGGAGGATTTTAAGCCGGCCTCTGTACTTCAAAAGAATCCGAATCCCTCGTGTCCCATCTCGGGTGCCAAAATTGTCGTGGAAATTTTATTCCTGGTGAGGGGTTGAGCAAATAATTGAGTAACAACCAACCGTTGTCTTTGAAGAATTTATTTAACAAAAGAGAATAAACAGAGAAGTACTAAAACACATATACAGCTGGTCCAGAGACCTGCGGCATCGGGCGTCTGGCCCCGAGTAAGTAGTAGTAAATGTGGACAGACCAACATAAGGAGTATGGGAGAGGAAAGGTTAAGGATAAAAACACAATACATATCTATAAGAATAATAATAAGTAATAATAATGATAATATTAAAAGATCATACATAACAGATTAAATGTAAGAGGACACAATTTTCTGCCATAACATACAGCCCCTTCCAAAAGTATTGGAACGGTAAGGCAAATTCCTAAGTTTTTGTTGTTCACTGAAGACAAGTGGGTTTAAGATCAAAAGATGAGTATGAGAGTTCAGAATTTCAGCTCTCATGTCGTGGTATTCACATCTATGTGTGTTAAACAACTCAGGACATACCACCCTTTGTTTGAATCCACCCATTTTTCAAGTGAGCAACATTGGGCATAGCAAGTACAACAATTTGGAATGCCCTCAAAAAGAAAGAAACTACTGGTGTACTGAGCAACAGACGTTGAACAGGTCGGCCAAGGAAAACAACAGTAGTTGGTGAAAGAAATAGAGAGCTGTGAAGAAAACCCCCAAAACATCAGTAAGTGACATCACCAACAAGCGCTACAGTGCAGGGGTGAAGGTATCACAATCCACTGTTCCAAGAAGACTCAGAGAGCAGAAATATAGAGGCCACACTGCAAGATGCAAACCACTCATCAGCAGGAAGAATCGGAAGGCCAGATGGAAATTTGCAAGAAGTACAGAGATGAGCTGCAAAAGTTCTGGAACAAAATCTTGTGGACTGATGAGACCAAAATTAATCTCTAGCAAAGTGATGGAAAGGCCAAAGTGTGGAGAAAGAAAGGAACTGCTTATGATCTGAAGCGTACAAGCTCATCTGTGAAGCATGGTGGAGGTAAAGTCATGGCTTGGGCGTGCATGGCTGCTTCTGGAACAGGCTCATTAATATTTATTGATGATGTAACTGATGATGGTGGCAGCAGAATCCATTCAGAAGTGGACAGAAACATTTTGTCTGCCAATTTAAGGAGAAATGCATTGAAACTAATCAGGAGGAAGTTTATCATGCAGCAGGACAATGACCCAAAGCACACTGCCAACAAAACAATGGACTTCATCGGGGGGGAAAAAGTGGAAGGTTTTAGACTGGCCAAGTCAATCACCTGACCTTAACCCAATAGAGCTGCATTTCACCTCCTTAAGAGGAGACTGAAGGGAGAAACACCCCGAAACAAACAAGAACTAAAAGAAGCTGCGGTAAAAGCCTGGAATAGCATCACAAATGAAGAATGCAACAGTTTGGTGATGTCGATGGGTCGCAGCCTTGAGGCAGTTATTGCAAGCAAGGGTTATGCCACCAAATATTAAATGTTATTTACTTTAAGATTATTTGTTCCAATACTTTTGCTCACCTAAGAATGCTGTGGTCTAATACAGATGGTGATATGTCCTAAGTTGTTTAACACATCTAGATGTTAAAACCAGGAAATAAAAGCTGAAATTCTGAACTATTGTCTCATACACATCTTTTGATCTTATACCCAAATGTCTTCAGCGAACAGCAAAAACAAAGGAATTTTGTTGAATTGGATTAGAATTACTCATTCATCAATGTTTTTGTCACTTCATGTTGCAGAGGGTAAAAGTTGGGGCTGATTTTGATTAATCTATATACTGCTGGGGAGCTTGCAGGGATCAATAAAGTCTTATCTTAACCCATAACAATACGTAATAAATGTATCTGTTATCTTTTGTAATTTCACTAATTTGATTGAATGTGCAAAAGTAACTAGTAACTCTGAAATAAAGGGGAGAAGAACTATTAAGTAAAAAAAAAAAAAAATGGGAAAACTCAAGTATATTCAAGTACCTCAACATTGTACTTAACTACAGTACTTCAGCAAATATACTTTCCAGGACTGTCAAAGCAAAGTATTTGGTATACAAACAAGAGACATGATAATTATAGCTCCATACAAAACATGTTAGCATCCCATTAAGTCATTTCTCTGGTCAACATTAACTCAGTCCCATTCTGAACTTCAAGGTTCTCCTCCTCGTCTTTTGTGGTGGTGCCATTACTCATTAATATTTGTTCCTGTGGTGGTTTATGGGTTTTTACTTTAAATACGTCCCAACTCTCAGGGATCAGTTCTTTATTGAAGAGCAGCGAAACCACGTAGGAGAATATCAAAGTGGCAAAGATGGTGGACAACACACAGATGGTCCTAACAGGAGCACGCTGGACATATACTCCCTCCTCAAGAGTGCAACCTGGGAGGTGAAGAACAATAGGCAAGCCTAGCATTGGCTCACCACTCAGCAGTCTCAACAACAGTCCGACTAGTAATCCCATGATGGAGCCGTAGCCATTACAGATGTTAAAGAAGAGGACACAGACGAGCTGAGGGAACATAATGCTATAGGTTATGTCTGAGCCCAGGATCCAGAAAAACATGATACTGTTGTGTAGGAAGGTGAGCGATGTGCCAGCCAAGCCCGCCAACACCACTGTCACACGTATCACCCACTGAAGCTCCCGATCTGATGCCTGCAGGGGAAAAAAAGACTGGATGCTGACACAGAAAAAAAATTACCACTTTATTCCTCCCCTCCGGTATCCTCTTACCTTGGTCCTCAGGATCTTCTTGTAGATATTGGATGTGAAGATGGAGGCGGCTGACAACAGAGCCGAGTCTGTTGATGACATGACGGCAGCAGCTATAGCTCCGATACCGATGATGGAGATGTAGTTTGGGGTGAGATTCTGCAGAGCAATGGGCAGAATCTGACTGGCATCTCCACGCTCGTATGGGGACGGGGAGCCAAATGTAGTCACGTTCCAGTCTGACACCAAGCATGTTAACAACACATAACATAAATTATCAAGTTCTCACTATTGTTTTCTATTTAATTATTTTTCCGTACCTGTTGATGCTGCGACTGCTCCGATCAACACAGATGGGATTCCGAGTATGAAGATGAGAAGAGCTGCAATAAAGCAGGTGATCCTGGCTGTGGCTCCAGAGCAGGCTGACAGGGTCCTCTGGTGGAAGTCCTGATATCCCAGGTTACTAAGAGCCTTAGGAAAAACATCATTGACCACAATGGAAGTTATTCTTGCTTGAGTCACTTCATTTTTTAGTGGCCGTGCGACCAAAATCAGTGGAATTTCACGTCACACAATAAATAACAGGGAAATGCAGTTGATTTAATGTCCTCCTTCTCCCTAGGTTTTGCACACTGTGACAAGATTGCTTTACCAGTTCACCTTCCGGCTTACATTTTGGTAGACAAAATTTACCAGCAGCCATGATTTGCATAGCATAATCTAGTCTTGTGTCACCTTTACTAATTTAAAAGTAATAGTACATTAAATATATAACATCATTCATTTTGATAGCAAAAGCAGAGACGTGATGGAAAGTGAGGGTTGCAGAGTGAGTGAAGAGTGAGGAGGTCCCTCAGCTGGACTTGAACGGGGGAAATTACATCAGCGTCACAAACCCCTAGATTTAGGATGCCCAAGGGTAAAGTTTTCTTATTGATCCCATGATAGGCTGTTTTTACAATTGACATTAAGACACAAAAGATAGTAACATTACACATCTGTGCTATGAATATTCACTCTGTTTCTCATTCACTTTGATTGAAGCCCGTCAGAGAGACGAATTCAAGCACGTTCCGTTTTTGTTACAACCTCCAGCCAGCTCCGGGGGACTGGCAGGTCAGATTTCACCTTTGTTCAACTTTGACTGAGTGGATGTGCTAGGTTGCTCGATAGAAACACTTTGTTATTTTTTAAATATTTTATTTTTCAGTTTTATATACATAATGCATACAAACAGGTCAGTATACAAACGGTATAGAGACATAACAAAAGGTAAAACATTTTACTTTACCCCCCCTCCCCCAAAAAGAAACAAACAAACAAAAAAAAAGGTCAGTGTGCTGGGTCAATACAAACGACATTAAGTGCTTGGAGTATGGGATATACCGATGTGGTCTAAATATGGCTGCCAAATTTTCAAAAAGGTGTTATATCGTTTCCTGAGACAATAAGTGATTTTTTCTAGGGGAATACAGCTATTCATCTCAACAGACCACCTGTCAATAAGAAGAAGGGAGCCAGATTTCCATGACACTGCAATGCACTTCTTAGCCACACATAGAGCAATTTCAATGAATTTGAGTTGTGCATTTATATTTTATATTTATACTATTATATTTATATTCTCTTTATCTATCTATCTTTGACAAGTGTGCAATTGTGACAAAAGAATTTCCCCTCGGGGATCAATAAAGTATTTCTGATTCTGATTCTGATTGTTTAGAGAATGGGAATACTTGTAAAGTTCCCAATAAACAAAGTTCAGGGTCCACAGGAACATTACCTCCTGTGATCCTGGTTAGAGTGGAGCTGATATCATGCCAAAAACTTTCATACACAGCCAGGTACAGTGCAAAAAGGAGCCAACTTCAATATTACATCTGAAGCACATTTCTGACAGGTTAGATTTGATTGAGTGTAATTTTTCTGGGGAAACGTATAGTTGATGTAGAATATTATAGTTAATCAATCTGTATCGGGCACTGATAATAGTTGACAGGCTGTTGTGACATAATTCTGTCCAAAGCTGTTAATCAATTGCAACATTGAGATCTGACTCCCATTTCATTCTAGATTTATGCACACATGGTTTTGGGCCCTCATTCATCAACAGGCAATACATTTTGGAAATAAATTTGTATGTGTTCCCATCATAAAGAAATCTTTCAACAACAATTCATGACGCAGAGTCATTTCAGGACCTAAATTAGCTCTCAGAAAGGATCTTAGTTGGAGATAACAATAAAAGGTTTGATTGGACAGGTTATATTTCCTCTTCAGGTGCTCAAATGACATGAAAAGTCCCTTGTCAAAGCAATTCTCCAAGTGTTCTCCTATGATGCCATATATCCAGAATCTTATTATCACGAGTCATTGGTATAAGCTTATTTTGCTTTAAAGGTGTTTTAGGTGACAGTCCTACCTTCAATCCAAGACTTTTGGGAACCTCATACCAACTTTTTATCAGATGCCTCAATATAGGGTTATCCGTCCTCCTGTGTACAGTTCCAGAATTATGTTTGTAAATGAAGTCACTGCAGACCTTTTCTTTCATGGGGTGCAGTCCGATTTTTGTCCAGGAAGGGGCGTCTCCCTCAATAATGGATGAGATGAACCTCATTTGAGCTGCCAAGTGGTAGATTTTAAAATTTGGTAATTGAAGTCCCCCTGAGCCATAGTCCCATGTTAGCTTTCCCATGGATATCCAGGGTACTTTACAATGGACCCTTCGCTAAAACACTCCCCAAATACAAAGCTAGCCAATCACAGTGCAGTATAGGACTCGCTAACTGAAGTCGGACACTTTGTGGATGCGCTCCATTGACTCTAATGTAAAAAGAGTCATTTTCTAGCTTTTTTTGGCTGTATTTTTCTAAGATATGGTCAAACGCTGTTCCTGGGGCAAAACCTAAAATAAATCCAGAAAATTGTCGGCTGTGGATCATTCCTAATGTAACGTTAATGTTAGTTAGCTAACGCTAGCTAACTTCCTACTCAATGGAATGTAATAAAGCCCTACTGTACTGCTTTTTAATGATTGTAATAATGAACAGAGGCCTACCCAGCTTTACAGGAACAGTGTTGATCGTTCATATCGTTGTCTTTTTTCAGTTTCTTTTTGGGTAAATGGCAGATCAAGACTATTTTGATCTTCCTGGCCAAGTTTGGGCAGTTCAATCATGGACAAAAATTCATCAGTGTTAACAAGATTTTCCGGTAGTTCTGATGTGTACAAATGTGTGTAAAACTGTTCGAATGCATCGTTAATTTCTGTTGGGTTATATGATACAGAACCTGTTTCAGTTTGGATTGAGTTGATCGTCCTAGAGCTCTCTTCTTTTCTCAATTGCCAAGACAGAATTTTGTGCGCCCTCTCATAGTACCTTTGCCCCTGCTTCTCAGAATGTTTTGCAAAGTATTATATCTAAGCTTTATATTTACCAATAAATGGTGTACTTCTTTAGACCTTGATTGTTGAAACTCCTTTTCCAATTTCAAAATATCTGCTAACACTTTTATCACAATTTTTAGTATTGTATCACACTACCAAACTACAAACTGTAGTATTGCTCTCATACACTGTTTATAGTTCTCTGATCAATATTTGTTCATACCCTGCACCAGAAATGTGACCATACCTTTAGCGCCTTAACCTTAACAATGGCTGTGTTATATTCAAGTGTCCCAGTAAGCTGTGTGACTGTGAGCCAGGATGCTCAAAGCTGTAAATATTTCTTCTAAGGAAAAGGCCTAATTGCATTGCAAACTACTGCCTATTCATTCAACCTATTCCTATAGTACAAAATTACTGAATGTAGTCCTTACCAATAATAAGAAATTATCAATCCACACCCACGCTCTTTCTTTCTTCACTGAACCAATCCAGGGAGCCTGGTAGGTAAAGTTGTAAGCGGTCTTGGTGATGTCAGCTGAATGGGGGTTCATCAGGACGAAGGGGACAGATAGCCACTGTAGAAAAGACAATGAGCCACAGACAAACATTTTAAAGAATGCATATTCCCTTGATAAAGTAAGGTAGTGTTATGATTGTTCAGTTTCAGACCATCCATGCTGATATACTTGTTTGATGAGCAGAAGAGTAGAGGCATGGCAGGATAGGAGGGAAGTACCATAGGCTTTTCATAAGAAATAATATGAAATAAGATATTTTGTCCCTTAAGGGCCTATGGAAGAAAGGATTTCCTATGCAAGGAACTCACCAAACTAACAAAAATGAGGGTTAACTGTATGACGTCTGTGTAGGCCACAGAGTAGAGGCCTCCCAGCAGTGTGTAGATAATGGCTACTGTGGCAGAGATCCAAATGCAGAGAGTGTAGGAAATATCCAGGATCACACTCATTGTTGCACCTATATAGGTACATAATCACATAAATGCAGATTCATATACAAATTTAATACATTTAACACAATTTCTGTTTAGCATGATATAGGGGGGTGATGGCGCAATGGATAAGACACACATGCCTTTGGTGTGAGAGACCTGGATTCAGTCCCCCACTGTGACCCATCCACCATTGTGTCCCTGAGCAAGACACTTAACCCCTAGTTGCTCCAGAGGCGTGTGACCTCTGACATGTATAGCAATTGTAAGTCACTATGGATAAAAGCGTCAGCTAAATGAATAAATTTATTTATTTAAATTTATAATACTGGCCCAAATACAAGATACTTGTTTCTTTCCTGGAAATTCCAATGGTTCATAATAACAGCAGTGTTTGTTAGTAGCAAGTTAAAGGCACGTTTAATAACGTCCTTCTGATCAAAAGAATGACAATATCCTGGAAATCATGTATATTCATTTATATAAATAAAAAATGGTAGGATGTATAATTGTATTATTGACAAAATGAGTTAAGACTTTTAGAGAAAACTGACATCAGTGTCACTTACCTAAACCAATTAGAGTTCCTGTGACCCAGATGATGTCAGATATCAGCAGTGCCACAGATAGAACTCCACTTATTACATTTCCATACTTGATCTGGAAAGGGTCCATCATTGTCACATATTTTCTGTCTCTCATTCTCTTAGCGAAGAAAAGTCCACCTTAACAAGTGAATCACACAAAGGTAGGCAGATTTGTGAGTATGTATTCCTGCATTTTGTCTGTTTAAAAGAGACGATTTAGTACTGATTCAAGATCAGGACTCAATGCCATATTAACATGATTGATTGGAATTTATCTTAGTGAGGCAATCAAAATACAAAAATAGACAAAAATAGTAAAACCACTCCCCCATTAACGCACATAATGAGGGAACCAAAGTCTGGGTTTGAATCTGGCCTGGCCCCATTTGCTGCATGTCGAGGGGTCCTTTAGAACTTCAAGGTCTTTCTTTTGTAATCTTTACATCTGGAGAGATTGGCGCTAGAGGTTGGAGCTCACATCCAATAATTGTGGATGCAGCATGCACCACTCTGTCCAAACAGCCTCCTGTTCTCAGCTGACAGGCTGCCCCGGGCCCATACCATCTCTGCAAAAGTAACTTAATCATTTAGGCTAACACCGTCACTCACGACGGACAGTTTAGCCACAAAAGTCCTTATACAACCAGTGTTGGAAATTGTTTTAAGGTTTTTATAACTGATAATAGAAATGTTGCTGTCTGTGTCGGAGTTTAACTCAAACACACACACAGACGGAGGAAAGTCAGTGTTCAACAGAGCAGAGAGTCTATATAGTAACTTTGCTCTAGAAACAAGATTAAGTTAGATTTAAAATATTCAATTCTAATCCTGTAGTGAATTTATAGTTATTAATCATTCATGTGATTATTGTTGTTGTTGGACAGGAGAGGAAACAATGTAGTGGACATGAGAAGAAAGCTGGAGAAGACAGGAGACGACATGACAGCAGAAGGGCAGAATATGGTAGGAGAACATGTTTTTGGAAGCTGAATAGGCAGCATCATCAAGAAAATAATCAATAGATCTCAGTAGTCTTTCTAATTTTAAGTAACTTTTGTATGTTTCCCCTAGTAAAACCATTTCCATCACTGTATACAACCTTTTTCCACATATGCAGTAGTAGTTCTCAAGGCCACTAAACAGCTGTTTATGTGTAAAATCTGTGATGAATATCCAAAATGGTCTTGTGCAAATACATGACAGATCTGTCTGCCCAGTCTCGACCACATCTAGCAATAAGAAACCCAAATTCTTTTTGCCAGCTGTGACACCCTGACAGACAGTACAATGTCACATCTGCACCTTAGGATTATATCACTACTGGAAAAAATGTTATATTAAATATCAAATTGAGGGGCAAACACGTACACATAAACATACATATGGTGTCATTATTATAATGCTTACCGACAACAAAAGACATGGCTGATGTAACGGGCATAACAGCCCAGATCAGTCCCATAGTTGGATTGTACACGGCCTCTGACATACCAACGACGAAGCCCCCTCCAACAAATGTAGCTGTAGGAAGCATGTATATATATATATAAAATGATTAGCAGCAGTATATAGACCATCACATTTTAACCCTCTGTTTAGGCTAAACTAACCTGTGAGAAATACAACATGTCCACAAAACAAAAAAAAAAAAAAAAAAACATGTATATATATATATATATATATATATATATATATTATATATATATATTCTATGCCATTGAACAATTCAATGTTGTATTTTATACACTTTTATACACTGCCTTAATTTATCATAATCTTATTGCACATTTGAAACACCACATCAAACTATGTCAACAATTGAATATCTTCAATGATTATCTACTAAAGAAATAAGAAATTCAAACAAGTAAGTCTAATAAGATCACTGTTGGGTTCAGTATAGATGGAAAGTAACATTTAAAGGATATTTTATTTTCACAGTGGAGGGTCTATTTTTTGCAAATTGTATTTAAGCATGGAAGGGCACGCATTAACAAAAGGATTGTTATGGGACAACAAAAGATAGTGAGAGCTACAAGTTAAAGCTTGCGAATATTAGGTATAAAGCTAGTCTATTTAATTAAACAAAATGCTCAGATAACATATCAAACAATGGTAATTACATAGACTTCTAGAAGGTTTTCGCATAACGGTGCGAAGATGTCTTTCATCTAGTTGCTGAAATGCAGTTAAACAGGTGCTCTAATGTTGTAACATAACGTAGATTTGCAATGTTAGACTCACTGCAAAGTTGTCTCCTTTACTTTGTGAGACATCATAAACTCTGCAATATCTATAAATAAACTTAAACTTGCATCACAGTGAAATTCAAAGGTGCAAAAATGCGACAATATCTTTAATTTCCACCTCCTCGGCCCACACTCACCTGTCATGGTGAAGACTCCCACCACCAGGCTGATCCCCCTGTTGCCCAGCAGAGTGGTCTCTGTCAGGTCTGTCTGGCTGCTCTTCGGTGCCTGCTTGGACTTCATGGAAGCCCAAATGCCAGTGGCCAGCACCAGCAGGTAGAAGAGTACCATCACCAGCAATCCTGGGATGTTCAGGCTCATCTTGCACGACTCACTGACTGACTGACTGACTTACTGACTGAGGCTCCCACTGCTTCTCTTAACACATAAATATGTGTTGAAACAAGCAGGACAGGATTCCAGTTAGAGACATAGATGGTGTAGCTTCACACTAATTAAACCAACTGAGGAGAAAAAATATAACAATAAAAACACTCAGAGTCAATCTATATTTAGCAGGAGTTTTATTACACAACATAAGCGCTTTATTATCATTATTTAGGCCTTTGTACTGCTTACTGAAGTGTTGTAAGTGTCATTTGTAGGTTTACTTGTAAATTAACTATGCTGTTAGAAAGTGGTTATACTAGAAATACCACACCACAAAATAAGCAACTTAGTGGCTTCACAAACATTCAAAATTTTAAATAAAGGCATGGCTCTCAGCCTGGGGTGAAAGAGATCAGTCGAGGAAATGGAAAGCATAGGGTATTGAGGATGTAGAGCAGCCTATCAGAGATGGTGACCGTCTCAGTAAATAACTTTAGAGAGAGAGCTTCTTGGACTAAATTTAATGCTTTGTGCATCCAGGTCTTAATGAGGAAACAAGTGTAGTGCTTTTAGTGTTGCTGATGTTATGGAGATTATTATTATTATTATCTTTATTGCTATCGTAATAATTATTACCGTGACTATTAAATTATCTTTCCACACAGCCTGCTAGTGATATGTTTAATGTGTGATATGTTGGTGTAATTTGGCTTCCACACCTTTAATTGTCTATATAAAATGAAACTCGACTTTCCAGTCAGGTTGACATCTCTTTCCTGCCACGCCCTGAGGAAGAAACAGTGTGGGTCCAAACAAAACGGATTGTTCTTCTTCTTCCGTATAATGAAGGTATTTTAATTACACCCTTTACCCAGATACTTCCCTTTTCTATAGATCTATAGGGGGATGCTAATGTGTGTCTAAGTTTTGCCATTGCTTTTGGTGAGTAGAAACTGTGAGAGACTGTGCGTGTGTGTGCGTGTAATGTTACTGACTTTGCCCCCTGCTAGCCTGATAGGTGTGTTTTAGTGTTAGATACAGTTTTTTTATGCACTTTTATGTTAGGGCTGCATTAAGATAAATAACTTAGCTTACCAGAAATTTAAGCTTTCTATAGAAATGTGCAGTTTTAGTATTTTTTATTTTGAAGGGGTGTAATATTATGGTATCTCTGGTGAAATGTCATTAAATTGAATTTCAGTGGACAGAAATTGTATTAACGTCCCTCTAAATTATTTTTTTTAGTGCAGATACTTAGTTGTATACATACAGTATTTACAAAGCAAAAAGCTGTGCAGCGCTTGTGCTGGGGACTGGAAGAGAGCCTGCTACTGTGTGTGTGTGCAGGTGTGTGTGTACTGACTGTGCCCCAGGCATGTAATGTTTTTAAATAGATAGCAGTTTTTCTGTTTACCATACATAGGTTTGATTGACCAACAAATTATTTTAATGCC